CTCTTTCTACCATCCTTAATAATTCTGAAGGTAAATTGCACTTATCTTCATTGTCATATTCATCAACTTCCTCTAGACAATCGAACTGTTCAAAATCCACTTCCGGGACAGGATCATCAGCGCTTGGGACCTGAAGGGGAAATGAAATGTGTATGTGTAAGGGGAAAATATACCACAGGGAATGACCAAAAATTAAATTCAAAAGAGAATGAAACAAAGTACTGAATGAAATAAAATTGAATTCAAAAGAAATGAAATAAGAAAAATGTTTGCCATGAAAGAAACTACATCTTTTATTGAATTAAAAAAACATTTATTCACCCTTACAAAAGATCACCTATTGCCCATGTATAGGCGAATAGAGATAGTTTGAGTATTACTCTGAAATAAATTTGTAAACCACATGTAATTCTTATGTCCTCAAGATGCATATTAATCTGGTTATATCCTGAGAATCCATCCATGAATGAGAAGAAAGCGTTCCCGACAGTATTATTCACCAAAGTCTCTATGCGCGGTAGAGGAAATTTATCTTTGGGAATTGCATTGTTAAGGTCTCGGTAATTAACACACATATGTACTTTCTCATCTTTCTTTGGAACCGACACTATGTTAGCCACCCATTCCGGATACTTGGCCACTTGAAGGAAGCCGACATCAAATTGTTTCTTGACCTCTTCCTTGATCTTAAGGAGCATTTCAGGTCTCTTTCTCCTTAGCTTTTGTTGCACGGGTTTGCATTCTGGTTTGATAGGTAATTTGTGGACTACCATATTTGTATCTAGCCCTGGCATGTCTTGATACGACCATGCAAACACATCTCTGTATTCTTGAAGTAAGAATATTAAGTTTTGTCTTTCTTCAATCGAGAGAGTTATGCCAATTTTGACTTCCTTTCTTTCCTCTTCCGTACCTAGATTCAGGACTTCGATTTTCTCTTCATGTGGCAATATTTACTTGTCTTCTCTTTCTACCATCCTTAATAATTCTGAAGGTAAATTGCACTTATCTTCATTGTCATATTCATCAACTTCCTCTAGACAATCGAACTGTTCAAAATCCACTTCCGGGACAGGATCATCAGCGCTTGGGACCTGAAGGGGAAATGAAATGTGTATGTGTAAGGGGAAAATATACCACATGGAATGACCAAAAATTAAATTCAAAAGAGAATGAAACAAATTACTGAATGAAATAAAATTGAATTCAAAAGAAATGAAATAAGAAAAATGTTTGCCATGAAAGAAACTATATCTTTTATTGAATTAAAAAAAATTTATTCACCCTTACAAAAGATCACCTATTGCCCAGGTATAGGCGAATAGGGATAGTTTGAGTATTACTCTGAAATAAATTTGTAAACCACAGGTAATTCTTATGTCATCCAAATGCTAAACATCGACCCAGGTGGCAAAGGGCGGATTATTGATCTGTCCGTATTTTTGGCATCCTATGTGGTTATAACGTTAATACTCCAATATTTCAAAACAACCTCCAAATTTGGTGAGATAGTATCAAACTCATAACCACCAGATTTAAATATTTCATAAAGAGGTGGAAAAACCATGGGTTCCCAATGAAAATCTTTATCGTTCAATCTAGCCAACCTTCTGTCTCGGCCTTTCTGAATTTCCTTCATCTTATGTTGTTGACTGGGCTGAAAACCAAGCCCAAACTGGTCTAACTTTGTTATAGGAATGACATGGTTGATCCTTCCTTGCAACAGATTCTCAAATCCTCTTCCTACCATGGCACATCTTCCCAATGTTTGCTTGATCTCCATTTTAGTGCATTCGAAGAGTCGCGGTTTGGAAATCCTTCGTCCTTCAGCCACAAATATGACATTCACAAACTCTAAGGAGTGGAATAAACATTGTACCACATCATCATTTATTTATATGTATGAGGCATCAATAGTCACACTTTCTATGATATATTCTTCAGTATTAACAATTACAAGAGCACCATCAATGAAAATCTTGACTTTCTGGTGCAGTGTAAATGGTACTGCTCCAGCTTGATGGATTCAGGGCCTTCCTAAAAGGTAGTTGTAGGAAGGCATGATGTCCATTATAAAAAATTCAATATTGTAAGTAGCACGTCCAATGGTTAAAGACACATCAATCTTGCTAATTACCTCCCTCTTCATCCCGTCAAATGCTCGGACCAAACTATGGCATGTTCTCATGTGGAAAGCATCTATTGGCAGCCTTTTGAACGTAACCAAAGGTATTACATTAAGGGTTGAACCATTATTAATTAATACACTTGGTAAGGCGTGCCCGTTACAATGAGTGGTGATGTGTAATGCCTTAGCTCAACCTCTTCCTCTAGACAAAATCTCATCATCAGAAAATGAGATGAGATTATCACTATGAATATTGTTAACCATTCGATCCATCTTGCTGACTGGTATGTCTTGTGGCATAAACGTCTGATTTAGAATGATCAAAAGTGCTTACATGTGTGTTTCTAAACTTAACAGAAATGTTAACATTGAAATACGTATCGATAGGCTATGTAATTGGTCTACGATGATGTACTCGCTATGCTTTAAAAATTTCAGAAACTCTATAGCTTCTTCCTTCTTTATTGGCTCGTTTATTTTCAGCACATCCCCTTTGAAGGGTTCAAATGGTCTCTGAGGGGACTTATCCTCTTGGGAGTAGCGTTTCCCAATGGCATACCCCACTTTGTTATCATTTTCCTTCAGGGTGCTTACTTGGCATTCATACTTCTAAGGCACTTGCTTGCTGTCCTTGTAGGAAAAAAGGTCAGGGTGTTGTGATCACCACATTTGCTTGTGTTTTCTTTACTATCACTTTAGGGGTAATTACCAAAGGATGACACCTGCCATATTCGTTTTCGGATGACTCTCTAGTCGTACAAACATCTACTTCTGGAGAGTCTTAGATTTCGTCATATAATTGCAGCTCTTTCCTATCCATCATGAGCTGGATCAAATCTTTAAACTTCGGGCAATGATGAACCTTATGCCATTCTTCATTGTCGTAACAACAGTGGTTATCATCTCCACTCATTGATGTTTCAAAATGTGGTACTAGAAACCCTACTTTCACCATTTATCTCCATCCCAAGCCAAATGAGACTTTATTTCAAAAAACACCAGTTTTAACTTTCCTGCCTTTATCTATGGTGACTGCATTAATCCAACCTCTTGATGATTAGACAAAGGATTTTGTGAAACATTTGGTGCTCCCGAGTCAAAGTGAATCCAATTCTTGTTACGCATTCTTTGAATAATCCTCTTGAATGCGAGGCAATTCTCAATAGTGTGCCTGGAACACCACCATGATATTCGCAGTGAGAGTTCTCATCATTCTATTTGAGGTATGAGGCTTCATAGGTTCCACTGGGTATGGTGACACTACATGACTGTCAAAGAGTTGTTGATACATTTCCTTGTACGTCATGGGAATATGATCGAAATGCTCATTTTCTCTTTATTTCCTAGGTTCCCTCGAATTTTGACTAGAAGTACCTGACGATACAACTACTGTTGTTTTTGAGTTGGAGATTGTAACACCTTTATTGGCGTTATAGGTGTTGATGTTATTAATCTCTCAATCTTTCTTCTTCATATGAGGTTTCTTGCTTGATTCCCCTCCCTAGATCTTGCTTGTTTTATGACAATTTCAATAATCTCCCCGGCCATAACTAAGTCTGAAAAATTTCCTGATGTGATTGAAACTAGGTGCCTGAAGTAAGGAATCTTCAGGCTTCTCATCCAAGGGTAGATGAACTTGCACAGCTAAATCCCTCCATCTCTGTGCATATTGTCTGAAACTCTCGTTATGCTTTTTCTTCATGCCTTGTAACATGAATCGATCTGGTCTAATATCTTTTATATGTTTTTTATTATTCCAAGAATGACTTGGCAAGATCTTTCCAGGTCTTGATATGAGATCGATTCAGCTGATTGTACCATCGGATGACTGTACCAGACAGACTCTCCTAGAAGCAATGAATTAGGAGTTGATCATTTCCTACATATCCTGTCATCTTCAGATATAACATGGTAATGTGAGCTGAAGAGCAACTGTTCGCATCAAATTTCTCAAACTCTGGAACTTTGAATTTTGGTGGGAGCACCAAATCTGGGATTAAGCTTAGCTTTAGAGCATCGACTCCATAATAATCATGACACCCTTAACTACCTTTATTTGGTCTTCCAGCAGCTTGATTTTCTCTTCTATCTTCTTTGCTTTATCTTCCTCATCAAAATCTGGTATATGGTAATCATCTGGATTATTCTCGGGGTTGGATATAAAAGTATGTACCTTTACAGCCGACCAGACCTTCGCTTTTACAGCGAACGAGTCCCCTTGAAGCCCTAGTAAAATTCTAGGTGAGATAACCACCTGCGAGGTAGGCGGCATAACTACCCTATCAAACGAACCTGCCCAATGTGAACTTGCTTGATTTAAGCCGGATAACTTGGCAACAATCTGATTGACCAAAGACTCTTGGCTCTTAGTGATCGTTTCTAGAGTACTTTGATTATTCTGACTTATCTTCTCTTCTAACTCCCTTTGTAACCTCAACATGTTCTCTTTGAGTTGAGCAATTTTGACTTCTATTTGTCTTTTATTTGTGTGGGTGTTGTAAGGATGATGTGTGTCCAAGGCTTGTGGAGGTATACCCGGTGCTTGTTCTCTCTTCTAATGAGACATTTTCTGTTAGTTAATGTGAATGTAAAAACATGGAAAATAAAAATAAAATGCAATGTATGACAATGATGCATGAGAATTAGAGGCATTGATCTAGAAACATGTCTGTTATTATAAATAATCATTATTGAGACAAAAGTTTTTTATTTTTTTAAGAGACAAAAATATCATAAAGGTACATTCTAACTGAGTCCTCTAAACCCCGAACAACTTCTAACAAGTTGACAAGTCTTCTTCCTTTATCTATCATTGGTTAAATACATTGTCGGACCACTCCAGCTTCTCTTGCTAAATCGTGCAAGTGACGAGTTGCTTTTTATACTTGTTCCAAGAAATCTCGGATGACTACATCTTTAGCTTTCACCCTTTGTTGGGCTCGTTCCCAACGAAAATACCACTGAAATCCTCCATCAAAAGGAACTATCTAAAGCTCACTTGCTTGTTTCTTGAACCCGTCCACAATAGCCTCCAACTCATTTATGGTTTTGTCATCATGCTCTTGTTGTTTCTGAAGAGACTTCTCTAAATAAGTTACATGGATCTTCAAATGCTTATTCTGATACTGGTTGTCTAACAAACGTCTCTAAGAAGTCTTTAGTTGTTCTTTCAAGGTCTCTCTTTCATCATGTCCTTCAAACTTCATTTTCAGGCTACCAACTTCATTTTTTCAGTACTCAGAAAAGCTTTTCAAATTAGAATTACTCTAGACTTGTTCTTGATATCCTTTTATCAAATCCTCAAGTTCAAAACAAATTTTCTTTTGTTCTCTCTCTAACTTGTCTGTCCGATCCTTTTGGGTATCAACATCCAACTTCCACTGGAATCTTTCAGCCTCAAGTTCCCTTAGACTTTGTTTCAGCTCCTATTTTTTCAGCTTCAAATTAATTCCTTGCTATCTCTAGTTCGGAGGGAACATGCTTAAGATGTTCTTCCATGGTTCGAGTGTTTTCATAATCTGGCACGGGGATTGTGTCATTTTTCCTTAACCTCCACCATTCTAAATAGTCTAGAGTAAGCATGTCCCTAGCGGCCATGAAATCCATACATAACATTTTCTTCCATGACTCAGCTACTTCTTTGACCATTTTCTTGTAGTTGTCCCCATGATATGTGAATTATGATCCAGATATTCCGTGTGTTGTTGGGATAAACTGGTGTGCCCCATACTGTCGAAATGCCAAAAGTGGAGAGTATCCGACTCCTCTCCATAATTCAAATAATTCAAATAATTCAAATCCTCAAGTTCAAAACAAATTTTCTTTTGTTCTCTCTCTAACTTGTCTGTCCGATCCTTTTGGGTATCAACATCCAACTTCCACTGGAATCTTTCAGCCTCGAGTTCCCTTAGACTTTGTTTCAGCTCCTATTTTTTCAGCTTCAAATTAATTCCTTGCTATCTCTAGTTCGGAGGGAACATGCTTAAGATGTTCTTTCATGGTTCGAGTGTTTTCATAATCTGGCACGGGGATTGTGTCATTTTTCCTTAACCTCCACCATTCTAAATAGTCTAGAGTAAGCATGTCCCTAGCGGCCATGAAATCCATACATAACATTTTCTTCCATGACTCAGCTACTTCTTTGACCATTTTCTTGTAGTTGTCCCCATGATATGTGAATTATGATCCAGATATTCCGTGTGTTGTTGGGATAAACTGGTGTGCCCCATACTGTCGAAATGCCAAAAGTGGAGAGTATCCGACTCCTCTCCATAATTCAAATAATGTCATAGTTTCTGAGTCTCCACAACGAAAAAGAATGTCATTATGGGTTAACCAGGGGGCTCTCCAGAAAATATCCTTATCCTAAAAGTGCATGGATACCTTCATTCATTTTTCTTTTGGGACACCTTCTTGCCATTTCAGGGTGAGGAATTGCCCCAAAGGAGAATAAGTTGTGCTGAATTGGCGGTAAGAAATCTCGTTAGCCTTCCAAAAGTGATTATGGATCCAAACTTGGAGAAGTTGTGTACACCCTATAAATCTTCATCCGCCAGTCTTTCTATAATGGTTGAGGGAATGAATAGTTTCAGCTAAAATTGCCAGTATTGGATTTACTCATTTCAGGAGCTATTCAAACATTTCTACCACAACCGCCTCAATGTATCCTAAAGTCTTTGGGAAGATAACCAAACCATAAATGCCCAACATGAAAAAGTTCATTGCCTTCCATTCATCGAGGTGATTTTTCATTAGTTGCTTGATATGGGTCCAAGCAATTCATTCCCCGCTACCTTCATATTGAATCCGGTCAGTTACCCATTTCTCATCTACCCGCCACTTTTGCTAACCCATTCTTGAAAGACTGACTTTTGATGTGCTTGATGTAAACCCGATCCATTCTGATTCCCTCGAAATTCAGCAAACTGGTGTATTCTTTGATTATGGGTACCATTTCTTCTTGGTTAAATGTGAAACAGTTGTACCCCGAATTCCAGAATTATACTAAGGCTCGAATTAGGGGCTCAATTATCTTGACATAGAGTAAAAGTGCAATATCACCATATCGCTGGCAGAACCTCATTTTCTGGTCAATTTTCCAACTGTCCCAAATGCTCTGTAGTTCTTGAACATCATTCTGCTTTAGGCTGATAGAAGTATAGCAAACCAGATCTATCACATAGTTTCCTTGCAGATTGTATCCCTTTTCTTTCTGAGTCTTTTCGAAACCATAGTCGTACCTGGACATTTTTCACCTCTTGCATTACAACCCCTTTATCCATTAATACAGATTATTTGTGTATAACAAACACTTTTTTGTGGATCAATTATCTCTTTTTATGATACAAATGATAAAAAAAATAATCATGAAAGAAAAATCAGTTAGTAATATAAAAATAATAATAAGTAAAAAATGATAAAATGCATGTTTTAAACAGGAAGTAAAACATCATAGGTTTTGAAATGGAGTTTCTGGGTGGGCTCTAATTCCCTGTAGTCTACCGATTTAGGTTCTAAAAAAGGTACTCGAGTTCTCCTTGCTGGTGCCCCCTTGGGCTTGACAGACCCTCAGTTCTAAGCCCATTACAAGCTCATATGGACCAAACTTGTAATACACCAAATTTTGACCAGTGACTAAAATGTAAGTTTTAAAAGTTTAGTGGCTAACGTATAAACTTTGTAAAATATAGGGAGCAAAATTGTAATTTTTAAAAGTTATATATATTTTAGCCTATAAATGAACAGTTTGGATTAAAACAAAGATTTTAGTTGGAATCATATTTTTGGCACGAGAATTATGTTAAAAGCTATAAACCAGTAAAGTTCAGTATTAAAATCAACTATTCGGATCGAATTGGAATTTTACGAAAATTTGAAGGATTTTATAAAATGGTTGGAAATATTATTTATATATTTTAGAAAAGTGAAATTTAACATGGATCAAAGGAATTGAGGTCGATTTTCCATGTTAAGCCAAAAATTTGGAATTTAGTGACTAAATTGCAACTTTCAAAAATTTCAAGGATAGAATTATAAAATCAAAATTAAGATATTTTCTGGAAATGATGAGGTAAGGGATAATGTCATAGAGTGGCAAAGTTATAGTTATGGAGTTTCATTAATGGTAAAAATGGAAATTTCTATTAAATTGAATAAAAAATTTGGGAGAGAGTGTTCTCAAGAATTTGGGGTATAATTCTTGAGGGTTTGTAAGTTTACTCTTTGTCCTCAAAAGAAAGACAAATTAGCAAATTTGTGGAAAATCCTTAGTGTGGATAGCTAAGGTAGTGGACGTAGACTTTGGTTGAGAAAGTCGAAACACTCTAAATCGCTGTGCAATTTCTTTCAATTTTCTACAAAAGCTTCCACCAAAATTTTTATTGCCAATTCACCCCCTCTTGGCCGATTCCGTCAATTGATTAACTCAACAATTGGCATCAGAGCCTAACTCATTTGAAGGTTTAATCGTCTCTTGAGTCGATTCGGGAAGAGTTACATCGATAATCAAAGTCATCAATGGCCTCTACTTCAAACTTCGACTCCGGTCTCGATTCGATGCCCGTCAACAAGCCTCCCTTCTTCAATGGGGCTAATTATGCCTATTGAGAAAATAGGATGATGTACTTCATTCAAGCAAGTGACATGGGAGCATGGAATGTCGTAGAAGAATGATACTTCAAGCCTCTCACTCATCCAAGATTATGGAGTGAATGAGAGACAAAAATGTTCCAGCTCAACTCCAAAGCCATCCATATCATATTTTTTTCTCTTGGACCAAATGAATACGGAAGAGTTTCATCTTGTACAACCGCCAAAGAAATACGGGACAAACTTCAAGTCACTCATGAAGGTACCGATAAGGTAAAGAAATCTAAAATTAGTATTCTAACGCATAGCTATGAAAATTTCAGGATGAAACCAAATGAAAATATCAAAGCTATGACGGATAGATTCTCAACGATTTTCAATGGTCTCAAATCATATGGAGACATCATTTCAAATGAAAAGCTTATGAAAAAGTTAGTCTACTCCCTCCCAAAATCGTGGCAATCAAAGAAGACGGCAATCATCGAGTCTAAGGATCTAACATCCTTAACTCTTGAAGAGCTAATCGGTTCACTCCTCACTCATGAAATGATGCTTGAAGATGAGGTGGACCTTGATAAGATTGAAGAGACACCAAAGGAGAATGAGAAGAAGAAAAACATTGGAGTTGCTCTAAAATCCATAAAAAATGAGAGTGATTCGGATGAAGATGACGATGACGAGGAAATGGCATTGTTTGCCAAACGGTTCAGAAAAATGATGAGACCTTACCGATGAAGAAAATTCAAACGAAATGAAGGCCTAAAAAATGAACCAAAAGAGAAGAACCCGATCATTTGCTATGAATGCAAAAAGCTGGCGCATGTCAAATATGATTGCCCACAACTGAAGAGAAATGATCAATCAAAAAATAAGCACAAGGCTCATATGGCTACATGGAGCGATGAAGAAGGTTCCGATGAAGAGGAACAAGAAGTAGCAAACTTATGCTTGATGGCATTCGGGGAAGATTCTAAGGTAACCTCTAACTCATCTGATTTTGATGATTTATCCTATGATGAGTTATTAGAGGAATATAATGGGTTGGCTACGGATTATGAGAAATTATTTTTAAAATATAAAAATGATGTTTCAAAATTGAAAAATGAAAATAAACTCATATCCAAAACCAACAACGATCATGAAAGTAAAATCAAAGATTTGCAAATCAAACTAGAAGAGTTTGAAAAGAAAAATTTGGATTTGCAAAATTTACTTTCAAAGATCAATGATGATCATCAAAAGAAAATTGATGATCTTAAAACTTCTTTTGATAAAGTTGGAACAAAACGTTTTGAAAATGGAGAAAATTCAAAATCCAACTTTGTTAGAAAAAGTTTTAAAAACTACATTCATAGAGGTCCCCAAAGAACCTCTAATAGAAAAATCGTTAGAAGTATATGGGTTCCTAAAGAGCTCATTACTACTAAAGATAAGGATATTCTACACAAATAGATACCTAAGGGGACTAGGATTTTGGAAACTAATGAATATGGACCCAAAAGAATTTGGGTACCAAAAATTAGAAATTAATCTATGTTTGTAGGAAAAAGAGCATTGCTACAAGACACGGGAAACAAATCCAAATTCATGGTATCTTGATAGTGGATGCTCGAGACACATGACCGGAGATAAAAACCGGTTCATTGAGCTTAACTCCAAAAATAGAGGAGAAGTGACTTTTGGTGATGATTCAAAAGGTCACATTGAAGGTATTGGTACTATTGATAATACCTCTTCCATACAAATTAAGAATGTTTTATATGTGAATGGATTAAAGCATAATCTATTGAGTATTAGTCAATTTTGTGATAAGGGATTCAATGTCATGTTTGATATTAATGGTTGTAAAGTCATTGACATTGCATCTAATCGGATTATGCTTGTTGGTCATAGAATAGGAAACATATACATGGTGCACTTAGATTCTATTGATATGACTAATTTGTTTCTAGTTGCTAAGGATGAACATGATAGCTGGTTATGGCATAGGAGACTAGGACATACTAGTATGAGTGTTTTGCAACGGCTAATTCAAGGTAATTTAGTTCGAGGGTTGCCTAAGCTTAAATTTGATAATGATAAAATCTGTGATGCTTGTGCTAAAGAAAAACAAAAGCGAGTTTCTTTTAAATCCATTAATGACGTATCAACTAGTAGAGTATTACAATTGATCCATATAGATCTTTTTGGGCCAGCTAGGACTACTAGCTTGGGTGGAAAACAATATGCATTTGTCTTGGTATATGAATATTCTAGATATACTTGGGTTCTATTCTTGAGTACTAAAGATGAAGCATTAGAAAAATTCATCACATTTTCAAAAGTAATCCAAAACGATAAAGGTTACTCTATAACTAGTGTTAAGAGTGATCATGGCACTGAATTTGAAAATCTTGGATTTACTGAGTTTTGTAATTCTAATGGTATTAGTCACAATTTTTCAGCACCTAGAACCCCTCAACAAAATGGAGTTGTTGATAGGAAAAATCAAACTTTAGAAGAAATGGCTAGAACCATCCTTTGTGAAAATAATTTGCCAAAATATTTTTGGGCGGAAGCCACAAATACCGCTTGTTATGTTGTAAATCGAGTAATGATTAGGTCAATTTTAAAGAAAACTCCATATGAAAATTTCAAAAATAAAAAGCCTAACATTAGTTATTTTCATCCTTTTGGATGTAAATGTTTTATTTTGAACAACGATAAAGAAAACCTTGGCAAATTTGATGCTAAAAGTGATGAAGGAATTTTTCTGGGTTATTCCTTAAATTCTAAAGCTTATCGAGTATTTAATAAAAGAACTTTAGTTGTAGAAGAGTCTATACAGGTTGTTTTCGATGATAATCCCCTTCCGAGGAGGGATTCTTGTGTTAACGATGATGTAGGGATTATAAATATAAATGACGTTAGACATGACGTTGGAGAATCATCATCGAAGGAAGAAACGAAAGATGAGGAAACTTATGATCCCCTCGAGAATCCAACCATTGAAGAAAGGGAAGTATCCTATCCAAGAGAGTATAACTATGTCAAGGATGGTGAGATTATAGGTGATCCATCCAAAGGGGTAACAACTCGATCTTCTCTTAGAACTATTTGTAATTATGTTGCATTCATTTCATGCATAGAGCCTAAGAATATTAAAGAAGCATTAAAAGATGAACATTGGATTATGGCTATGCAAGAAGAATTAAATCAATTTCAGAGAAGTAACGTATGGATATTAGTTGAAAGGCCTAGTAATAAATCTACCGTAGGTACTAGATGGGTATTTAGGAATAAGCTTGATGAGAGTGGTAATATAGTGAGAAATAAGGCTAGACTTGTTGCTCAAGGGTACACTCAAGAAGAGGGCATAAACTATGATGAAACATACGCTCCCGTAGCTAGAATGGAAGCAATTAGAATGTTATAAGCATTTGCATGTTTTCATGAATTTAAATTATATCAAATGGATATTAAAAGTGCATTTTTAAATGGTTTTATAAAGGAAGAATTGTATGTGGAACAACCTCCAGGTTTTGAAGATTCAAAATTTCTGGATCAT